GTTAAATTTAAATTGAGGTGTACATTATAACAACATAAAAAGAGCCATATACCAGCAGCAGGAAAGCTGTTTAAAAGCAATTAAATAAATAAAAAAAAAAACATAGGATCCCCAGTGTCCTAATAAATCAAGGGGTCTAGGAATAATTCGTATTACATTTTATTGCACCAAATGGTCATGGAGACATGGTGAACTTTCTAAAAAGTTTTCTTGCAATAAATTAATGATGAATTAATCAGGAATACTCATTGAGAATGGACCGATGCCAGTTTGCACTGTATGTTGGTCTCACTCAAGGAGCAACTCATATGCACCTCCATAGTACCTTCACACAAAGTTGTAATCATAAAGAAGCCACCTTTAAGTTCTGTGACCTGATTTGTGTGTGCTTTATGGGAATAAAACCCATTATTGCATTAAGCTCTGTGCTTTGTTTGACGTTTACACTTCCTGATCACTGAATCTACTGCTGACGTCAGTCGTTAAAAGCATTTGGCATTCAGTCAATGATATTGAGTGGATTTCAGACAGTGGTCTCCATCAAAGGAGATATAGGTTATGCTGAGCACATCCTCTAAAGAAAACTTGGCAATCTTTAGGCAGTGTTTACGAAGACATGGCACCTACAGATACATTTCAGAGGACAGGTGGATATGAAAGGAAGAAGCAGTAAAATAGCATATTGCTCTGATTTATTAAATCACATGCTCAGTGCCAGTTTATGTGATGTATGAAAATATTCAAGACTGCAAATGGTGTAATAGCTCCCTCAGTTCCTCAATGGACAGCACAGGGAGGTGCTTTGAAGCTAATAATGTAAATATCCATCCCCTGAACCCTCAGGTACTTCTTAGCCGCCTCACACCACTATTGCTACATCAAATAAACAAAGAGGGACACTTTAATCTTAGGAGTGTGGCTGGTGTGTGACTAGGGGCGGTGAGGTTCTGAGAAGTTTTAGGTGAGTTTCTAATAATTTATACAGCTAAAATGTAAATTAGAACAACATATCTGATTTACACAAACTGATGTCTAAGCACATTTATTATAGCTTAAAAACACATTACTTTTAGTATTATTGCTGTGAAGCTCTATTATACACTCAGATACACCAGCTATAAAGATATGCTAGAAAAAAGGGACATTGGGACATAAAAAAGGGACAAAGTGATTTGGACCCAAAATAGGGACTGCCCCTCCTAAATAGGGACACCTGGATCTGTATTCCATTGCACTAATGCATTTTCTTGTCTAGCCCTATCATTCTAACAGTGTCAATGTTCCTCCCATGCCCACTGTACAGTGCCAGAGAAGCCTACCCCCTAATATCACTTATATAAAGTTTCAGGAGAGTCATACCATTTAAATCCAATAGTACCAATATGCTTCCTTTGCCCATTTTACTTTGCCAGGGCTTACCTATCCTCCTTGCCCTAATTGTGCCGATAATTGTCTCCCACACATAATCTAGAATATTTAGTGTGCATATGTGTATGTGATGATCATACTTGTTTGGGTTATATTTATGTAATAGTTTTTTTTTTTCATAATTTATAGTTTCTTCGCAAATAGATTTATTTTCAATATATCATGTTTACCTTTTATCCTTCAAGTGCCCTTTTGCAGAAAAAAATGCTTAGCTTATTGTAGCTATTATTATTATTATTATTATTATTATTTGTATTATTATTAGTATTATAGCTGGGTATAACTTATTGTACATCTTAGTCCTGTTTTTCATGAATTCATGAATCAATGAATCAATAGTTTGTGTTGTTCATTATTAAATCTATACAATACTTTTACTTGATTTGTGAATATTTACTTTGCAAATACTGTTAAGGTTCCTTTTAATAAACCTGCAATATTATTCTAAAATAAAACACCAAAAAAAAGAAAATGTTTTAACTGCAGACACTCCACACAAAAAAATATTATGTAATGAAATAGGGGGGTTAATTTAGTAATAATAGGGCATTAATTTGCATATTTATGAACTAAACTGACTCTAATCACTTATGAGTTATGACTCTGATATGCAGTTGACCTTGGTATATTTTAAAACTCTGCTCTATAGGTCTAAAATTGTTCAAATTGGTTCTCAAATCATTAGGTTTAATGAAAAGACCCCAATGCCATCAAACAGTATCTATCCAATATATTTTGATCCAATTAAATAGGTGCATTTAACAAATAAATATCTGTTCACATTTTATAAATTCAGGAATATATTTAGTATTATATTATGCTATGTAGAGTACAGCATGATCACTGCAGCTGTTATGGTGCCAGGAGAGCCCCCCATTGTAAGTAGCCAAACCTACAGCGAGCCATAATGTTCATAGTGCTTGGACCTCAAAATCGTGAAAATGGAATAGTTGATTATGTGTAAGGACAATCTATGCATTAACCCTTTCACTCAACGGTTCTCTAAGAATGTTTTGATTCTCCTTAACCCCTTAAGGACACATGACATGTGTGACATGTCATGATTCCCTTTTATTCCAGAAGTTTGGTCCTTAAGGGGTTAAGGTTGATAAAGTACCAATAGCTGAAATAGAAGATACACTTATCATGTTGGAAAAACTTTGCAGAGTATTTGTAATCCTTTCACATATATTTGAATTGCATTTACAAAACATAGCATAGATTTCATTTTATTCTCCTCTGTTGTGTAAATGTTAGATATGTTAGATTGAATATGCTGATAAATTGATTTGGTGACATTTGCAGGCAATCAAAAGATTGCTAAAATAACAGAGGCTGACTGAATGAAATGCGTTGGGTGGGTGATGGATGTTATATACAATGTTTCCTTCATTGATACTCTGAAAAAGTTCAATCTTGTAGATAAACTGTAAATTCATTTTCATTTTATAATTCTGTTATATGGCATTGCAATGTTATTAATGGTACTAAAGCCATTAACAATAGCTTGTGGAACATTAACTATTTGTAGCATGGGACTGACTGGTTGAAATTACTCATACAGTGTAATGCCAATTAACCTGTGACTTTTTTCCCTTTATGTATTTAAAAAATATACTAAAATTAGAAATAAAGCTCCATAGAATATTATTTTGGATATTATTTATTGTAGGAAGCTTGGGGTATTCTAGTATTAATCTTCCACCAGACACCTACCCCATATCTTACAGTACCAGTCCACATGCCAATCCCATTCCCACGTCTCCCATCCTATATGACAATAATTTTTATACTTATGGTTCTCACATCAATGCCTTTTACTTAGCCCCTTCTTGCTCGACATCACCTCTGGAGGCTGGTCCATAGGGGCAATTGCTGCGCCTATCTTCCTAGTTGCCAAACTTTTTGGCATTGTGAGGACTACTGATAAGAGGGTGTTGAAAAAATATATGTCTGTCATGATTATATCTGTAGTTTTTATTCTCCCCTTTATTGATGACTGGGGATGCAACTGGTTTTGAACATGGCATGACATCTCATGGGGTTAATGAATATAGATCAACAAGTCATATCATATCAA